GGTTCAAACCGGATTTTTGATGATTTTGAGTAAAACTAGAGTAGAAATTGGAGATCTTGGGGTCTTTGGACTTGTTTTAGGACCTAGAACCCGGATCTAGTGGTTTCCCTTTGAAATATTTGGATTTGGGACTGGATTTCAAAAGGATTGATCTACCTACTCATTATTCGGAGGTGAATCATAGAACACCAAAAGCTGTGGTATCTTATGGACCTAACATAGGTCACATCCCTCACGACATAAGATTGAAAGATCTAAGGCCAGCAGTCGACTAGAAGTAGAAGACTGCTCTATGATGGGCTTCCCTGTTTCCTGGGCTCTACTCGCTCGTCTACGCTCCGACCCAGCAAGTAAGAATTCAAAAACTATGTTTCCTTTCCTGCATTAAGATTTAAAACTTATCGTAAAAAAAAAGGCAATCAAGAAAAAAAAAATGGAAATAGTGAATCAAGATCTAGATGGATCCCTATCTTTATCTCTATCCACGGAGAGTTTTTGGACTTAATTTCTATATGGATAGAAATCTATCTATGAATCGATCTAGACTATCCTCTATCCGGATAGATATGTCCCTATGAGCGACTACGCCGATCTTTATATGTTTTGGCCACGTCCGTTTCCGCTCCGAAGAAGAAGGTTTAGATCTTTCAATCTTATGTCGTGAGGGATGTGACCTATGTTAGGTCCATAAGATACCACAGCTTTTGGTGTTCTATGATTCACCTCCGAATAATGAGTAGGTAGTTCAATCCTTTTGATTCTTCTCTTCATAGTAAACTGATGGGGGGATGCGGAGAAATCTTTATTACTATAAAAAGAAGAGTTGTAAACTATAGGACTTCTGTTGTGCTCCGCGCCTAAGCATACTTTTTCGGATCCAAACTTATTTGTTATTTCTAAGTCTTCTTCTTGCATAGAAGAACGCAACTGTTGCAAAAACCGGGATTTTAGTAGTAGGCGGCATCCCCTCTTAGTTTTTAGTAGGTGGAACCATTCTGTTTTGGTTCTTCTCCACATTCTTACCGGCCGGAATTTGCCTATGATTTTTTCAACTGAAATTTCGATATAGAAAGATCTCCTTATTTCTTCACCGCGGATTCTCGCGTCATTTTCTTGAAAAGATATTAGATCACCGTGGGAAACTTTCAAATGAGTAATGCTTACCATTCCATTATTCACACAAACCCTTCGATGACTTATCGGCTGCCTTGCTTGAGGAATAGTTTCACAAAAATGGAGACGAACCGGAATAACGTCCGATCTTGTTTCTGGATTGAGTGGAAAGGGGATATTTGAAGTTCGTTCTCTTCCTCTGTGCGGTAAATCCCCATGAAAAAGGGGCAACTTTCGTGTAGTTTGTGATTGGATGTAACTGTTAAGATTTTCTCTCGGAGAAATCTTTCTCTTAAGATGACTCTTCTTGTTCCTCAATCTTCGGAGAATGCGGCGTTGTATTATTGTAAGTTCTCTCTTCCGAACATTTCCTGAAAGTAGACGACAAGTTTTAAATCTTAGCATTATTATTCTTCCTCTTGTAATGATTCCTTCACGGCCTTGGCTATAGCCTCTCGTACCCTTATTCGGATTCGAACCGATTAATAATATTTCTAAAGGGCAAGAGCGTGACTCTTATTTTGGATTAAGTTATTTAAGCAATTCTTGATATTCCACGGGAACGGCGACAACTTTTGGTGTTGAAATGGGGCCCATCAGCGGTTTGATCGAA